TAATTATTAAGTTTCGAAGGAAGTTTAGAAGTCAAACTTCCGACAATATGGACAGATGAAAAGCAGAGAGGGGAAGAGTCAGAGAGAAGAGAAGAGTAGAAGAGAGAAGATGAGAGAAGAGAAAGAGTCAGAAGAAAGAAGATGCAGATGTGCGAAGAGGTAAGAAGTCGCGAAACACTATGTTTTTCCAATGATTTGAGGCTCCGGAGGGTCGAAAAGTAGGCTTGCTAAAGCGGCGGGTGCAGAGCCATCTGGCCAGATGAGAGATGAAAAAGTGCATGCCGTTGTGGCGCGAAGCACGTGTCCAAGCCAAAATGTACAAAACACACCATTATCGGACCACTTTTGGAAATTGAGATTTCGAAAAAGTGCAGGTCGTTGTGGCGCGAAGCACATTTCCAAGTCAAAATGTACAAAACACGCCAGCTCCAGACCACTTGTGGAAGTAGCGATGTCGAAAAAGTGCACGCCGTTGTGGCATGAAGCACATTTCCAAGTCAAAATGTTAAAAACACCATGGGTTTGGACCACTTTTGGCCGTTCAGATGTCGTTCCGCGTGGCAGGCGCAAGGGATTGTGGACCTTGACAAAAATGAGCTAAACGTGAGGTTTCCAAAAAAGATGGCAGGCGTGGGACATTTGAAGAGGATCTGCAAAGATGCATTTTCCGTGGCAGGCGCAGTACAAGAGACATGTTCATCAGAGCTGTTAGGAGATCCGGGCGCTGATTTCCTGAGAGGGGCTGCATTTTGGAGCATCAGATCTTCAGGTTTGCTGAGATGATTTTACGTGACAGGTGCAGCACTTCGTATGACCTGGCATCACTTTTTCGTGGCAGGCGCAGTAGTTTAGACAAATGGACTGGAAAAATTGCAAAACAAATTGGTACGAGGCAGTCAGCTCTGCACACAACTTTCCATTTTTGAAAGAGGTCTCGCAGAATTGCTTCGTTTTTGATGTTGTCAACTTTGAAAAATGAGGAAGTCTTGCAGAATTGCTTCGTTTTTGACGTTGTCACGTTCAAACATTGAGGAAATCTCGGAGAATTGCTTCGTTTTTGATGTCGTCAACTTTGAAACATGAAAAAGTCTCGAAAAATTGCTTCGTTTTTGAAGTTGTCAAGTTCAAACATTGAGGAAGTCTCGCAGAATTGTTTCGTTTTTGGTGTTGTCAACTTTGAAAGAAGAAGTCTCGCAGAATATCGTGGTTTTCAAGCTTGCAGATAGACAGGTAGATAGATAGATTAGATTAGATTAGATTAGATTAGATTAGATTAAGATTAGGATTAGATTAGAGTAGATTTAGATAGATAGACAGACAGATAGATAGAAAGATAAATAAATAAAGAAAAAGAAATAAATAGATAGATAGATAGCTAGATCGATAGATAGATAGATAGATAGGTAGGTAGATAGATAGATAGATACATAGATACATAGATAGATAGATCGGTCGGTAGGTAGGTAGGTAGTCAGAGAAAGAGAGACAGAAAGAGAGAAAGAGAGGAGACCCCAACCACCTGTCGGTCGATCAGAGGCTTCACTCTGCCATCCGTGATTCACAAGAACCAACCTCTCCTATAGGTTTACTATTTTTGAAACTTCTGCCACCGCCTTGTGCGGTACTACTGGGGTTTAGTACCCGGTCCCTAAAAGAATCACTTTAAAGTGCAGCCTGAAGTTGTTTGGGGGGCCCTACACTAATCAGGGTCCGCCATTGGAACTCCTACCAATCAACAAACCATGGGCCTATTAATGGGGGGGCCACACTAATCAGGATCCGACATTAGAACTCCTACCATCCCTATCAACAAACCATGGGGCTATTAATGGGGGGGGTTCACCATGACAACAGCTGTTCAACCAAAGGCCAGCCATCGTCAAGCCTCTACAATTGATACCTCCAAGTAAAATCTCTCTCCCAAGTAGACCTAATCTATTTTCTGTGAGATGAATCCGGGGTTATCAAGACCCTATCGCTGAAACGTGCCTTGGCGTCTGCTTGCGAATCGGCGTTGTTCGCCTCCGACGAGGCCGCGGTGTTGCAGGTCCAAGGGTGAAATCCGCCCGCACTGCAGGTGCTGTTTTTTTGTTTTTTCTGTGTGCTCACTTCGAACGGAAGCAATTGCAGGCAACAGTTATGTTGAGCTCTAGCATCAACACATGTTCATTGTATAGCTAATGAAATCCATTCTTGCTAAATGCCAGTTCTTGCGGATAAAAAATCCATTGCTGCTGGTTGGATGGCTAAAACCCTATATGAACCAAGAACAGTCCAACGCCAACCAACCAAGGACCGGTCCGACCCGTAGCGCGCAGGAAAGTTTCCCTTTCCGCCAAGATGAAGGGCAAGCAGGGGCACCTTCAATGATAAAAACTCTGGAACGCCCAACGGATATAGCAATCCACTGTAGATATATAGTACATAAGTATAATATATATGTATATATACATAGAGTAAATATATGCATACACACATGATATATAATCGAAGGAAGTTTGGAAGTCAAACTTCCCACAATATGGAGAGATGAAAAAGCAGTCAGCAGGGAGAAGAGTCAGAAGAGAAAAGATCAGAAGAAAGAAGATGCAGGTGCGCGAAAAGGTAGGAAAGTCGCGAAACACTGTTTTTTCGTGGTTTTGTGGCTCCGGAGGGTTGAAAAGTAGGCTCGCTAAAGCGGCGGGTGCGGAGACATCTGGGGAGATGAGAGATGAAAAGTTGCACGCCGTTGTGGCGCGAAGCACATTTCGAAGTCAAAATGTTAAAAACACCAGGGGTTCGGACCACTTTTGGAAGTTGAGATGTCCAAAAAGTGCACGCCGTTGTGGCGCGAAGCACATTTCCAAGCCAAAATGTACAAAACACACCATTATCGGACCACTTTTGGAAGTTGAGATGTCGAAAAAGTGCACGCCGTTGTGGCGCGAAGCACATTTCCAAGTCAAAATGTACAAAACACACCAGGTCCGGACCACTTGTGGGAAAAAAGTGCACGCCGTTGTGGCGCGAAGCACATTTCGAAGTCAAAATGTTAAAAACACACCATGTACGGACCACTTTTGGAGGTTCAGATGTCGTTTCGCGTGGCAGGCGCAAGGGATTGCGGACCTTGTCAAAAGTGAGCAAAACGTGAGGGTTTTGTGGCATTTTCAACTACAAACACCACTACACCACACTACACTCCAATACATTACACTACACTACAACTACAACTACACCTTCACTACATTCTACTACACTACACTCCACTACACTCCACTACACTACACTACACTACACTCAATTACACTCAATTACACTCAATTACACCACACTACACTACACTACACTCCACTACACTACACTACATTACACTACACTACATTACACTACACTACACTACATTACACCACACTACACTACCTTCCACTACACTACATTACACTACACTACACTCCACTACACTATATACACTTCACTACATTACACTACAACTACAACTGCACAACTGCACAACTACACCCCACTACACTCCACTACAGTCCACTACACTAAATTACACTACACTACACTACATTACACTACACTACATTCCACTACACTACACTACATTACACTACACTACACTACCTTCCACTACACTTCACTACATTACACTACACTACACTCAACTACACTACAACTACACTCCACTACACTCCACTACACTCGACTACACTAAATTACACTACACTACACTACACTACATTACACTACACTACACTACATTCCACTACACTTCACTACATTACACAACACTACCTTACACTGAATGACACAGCACCACAGATAGACAGGTAGACAGCTAGATAGACACATAGATAGATAGATTGATAGATCGATAGATGGATAGATAGATAGATAGATAGGTAGGTAGATAGAAAGATGGATAGATGGATACATAGGTAGATAGATAGATAGATAGATCGATCGATAGATAGATAGATAGAAAGATAGGTAGATAGATAGATAGATCGATAGATACATAGGTAGATAGATAGGTAGGTAGGTAGGTAGGTAGGTAGGTAGGTAGATAGTCAGAGAAAGAGAGAGAAAGAGAGGAGACATCAATCACCTTTCGATCCATCAGTGGCTTCGCTCTGCCATCCCTGATTCACAACAACCAACCTTTCCTATAGGTTTCCTATTTTTGAAACTTCCGCCACCGCCTTGTGCGGTACTACTGGTATAATACCGTGTATATATAATTAGATAGATATGTCATGTATGTGGATAAGTGCCAGAAACTATTCAAATGTCATGTGTATGCCTACATGGAACTGGAGTAGAACCTGCTGTGGGGCCAGCGACCCTTTAAATGGAAGATGGGGAATCCAAAACAGAGAGTGCTTGCGGTTCGAGGTGTATGGTTCTTGGGGTAGTTTCGGGGCCCCCGAAAGTTAGAAAGTTACAGTTAATCCTTTATATTTTGATAGGGGGTATCTACCATAATTTCAACAAACTCATGGCTGATATACCTCCATCATATAAGCCCCATCATCTGTTTAATCCGAGTTCTTGAGAGTTATTGGAGTTGTGTCCACCAACTTAGCTCCAATGTGGGGCCCAATTGTATGTTGGTTTATAACCCCCTATGAATACTATAGTTATCAGTAGAATCAACCATAGTTATTGGAGTTATGTTCACCAATTGAACGCTATCGTTTAGAGGCCAAACATTGCAACGAGCTGTTTCTTTCTTCACGGCAACTTGACAACCCTGTAAACGATTCTTTTCCTATGCCCTGGCGCCGGCTTCGAGGCGATCTATCTCCTCGATAGCCGGCTTCATCCCTGAGTCGGCCGCGGAGATCCAGGCTTCCTGCTGGGCACCTCCAGACGGCTCAGCTAGGAAGCCCGGCTCAGCCGCATTTCGACAGCGCCTGGGGCGGCAACAGCAGAACCTTTGCTGACCAAGGATGGCAATCGAGGACAGCAAGTTGCAACGTGTGGTATGTGGGAAGATTCTTGTCTGTGGGTCTGTCAGGTTCAAACAATCCTATGAGCATTGACAAGATACGTAGATGATCTGTAGATGTCCCTTTCCTATATCACGATTGAACAACAAATGGATGCAGTATGATACACTGCACTAAAGCCAGCCTGCATGTTTGATGAAATCCAACTTGTTCACAAGTCATGCAGTGTTGCGGGGAGTGAACAGTATCGGTTTTCATCTGGATAAGATTCCCATAGCATTCGGTTCCGAACAAAGGTACGGGGCGCTGCCGAGGTACAGGGCGCGGAGGCGCAGGGTGAAACACAGCAACGGAAGCCTGTAAACGATTCTTTTTCTAATGCTTTGGCTTCCAGGCGATCCATCTCTTTGATCGCTGGTTCCATCCTTGAGTCGGCCGCGGAGATTGGGGGAACTAGAAATATACAAGTGTAGATATACTAATGATACAGCATACAAGTTTTGTGTTTTTTTACCCCACAAGTTTTTGTGCAAAATAGGGTACCATCCAAATCCAAACAATCAGATTAATTATTAAGTTTCGAAGGAAGTTTAGAAGTCAAACTTCCGACAATATGGACAGATGAAAAGCAGAGAGGGGAAGAGTCAGAGAGAAGAGAAGAGTAGAAGAGAGAAGATGAGAGAAGAGAAAGAGTCAGAAGAAAGAAGATGCAGATGTGCGAAGAGGTAAGAAGTCGCGAAACACTGTGTTTTTTCCGATGATTTGAGGCTCCGGAGGGTCGAAAAGTAGGCTTGCTAAAGCGGCGGGTGCAGAGCCATCTGGCCAGATGAGAGATGAAAAAGTGCATGCCGTTGTGGCGCGAAGCACGTGTCCAAGCCAAAATGTACAAAACACACCATTATCGGACCACTTTTGGAAATTGAGATTTCGAAAAAGTGCAGGTCGTTGTGGCGCGAAGCACATTTCCAAGTCAAAATGTACAAAACACGCCAGCTCCGGACCACTTGTGGAAGTAGCGATGTCGAAAAAGCGCACGCCGTTGAGTGTAAAGTGTGGAGTGCAGAGTGTATAGAGTGTAAAGTGTAGAGTGTAAAGTGTAGAGTGTAAAGTGTAGAGTGTAAAGTGTAGAGTGTGGAGTGTAAAGTGTAGAGTGTAAAGTGTAGAGTGTGGAGTGTAAAGTGTGGAGTAAGGAGTGTAAAGTGTAAAGTGTAAAGTGTAAAGTGCGGAGTGTAGAGTGTAAAGTATAAAGTATAAAGTGTAGAGTGTAAAGTGTAGAGTGTTAAGTGTAGAGTGTGGAGTGTGGAGTGTGGAGTGTAAAGTGTAGAGTGTAGAGTGTAGAGTGTAGAGTGTGGAGTGTGGAGTGTGGGGTGGACAGTGTAGAGTGTGGAGTGTGGAGTGTAAAGTAAGGAGTGTAGAGTGTAAAGTATGAAGTGTGGAGTGTAAAGTGCGGAGTGAGGAGTGTGGAGTGTGTAAAGTGCAGTGTGGTGGAGTGTGGTGGAGTGTGGTGGAGTGTGGTGGAGTGTGGTGGAGTGTGGTGGATGGTGGAGTGTAGAATGTGGAGTGTAGAATGTGGAGTGTGGGGTGTAAAGTAAGGAGTGTGGAGTGTAAAGTGTGGAGTGTGCAGTGGGCAAGCTGTAGAGTGTGGAGTGTGGGGTGTAGAGTGTGGAGTTTGGAGTGTAAAGTGCGGAGTGTAGAGTGTGAAGTGTGGAGACTAAAGTGTAGAGTGCGTAAAGTGTAGAGCGTGGAGTGTGGAGTGTAGAGTGTGGAGTGTACAGTGTGGAGTGTAGAGTGTGCAAAGTGTAGAGTGACGAGTCTAGAGTGTAAAGTATAAAGTACAAAGTGTAGAGTGTAAATTGTAAAGTGTGGAGTGCAGAGTGTGGAGTGTAGAGTGTGGAGTGTGAAGTGTAAAAAGTGTAGTGTGTGGGGTGAGGAGTATAAAGTGTAAAGTGTGGAGTGTAAAGTGTAAAGTGGGTTCGTGTGCCTGCCACGAACCAAAGTGCTGGTGCTGCGCCTGCCACGAAAACTGCAACTCATCTTGTGAAAACGGCGCTAAAGTATTGCGCCTGCCACACAAAACGACTTCCGACACGTTATCACGGGCACAATGATCTTTGGGCTAGTGAGAATGTGAAAGTCCGTAACTCGGAGTTTCTCTATGAAACTTCCTTTGATGAGTAGAATGCCAACCACTTTCTAGCACCTGGATCTTCTTTCTTCTTCTCTTCTCTTCTCTGACTCTTCCCATCTCTGCTTTTCATCTGTCCATATTGTCAGAAGTTTCACTTCTAAACTTCCTTCGATGATATAGTAGAATCCACAGCAAGAAGGCCAACTTTGAGCATAATATGATATCTGGCGAGCAATCTATGGAAATTCATACTATATGTCCATGCTAGAACTAAGAAAGCACTGAAGACTTGGGTTAGCAATTCCATCTGGGATAGGTAGCCCTGAGCATTGGGATACCTCAACTATGACCTCAAAGTCTAAGCCCAAAATGTTGAGATGACTGTGGCTAAGAAAAAAAAATGAGCACCAAAGGAGCCTATTTTTGCCGCTACAAGTCCAAACAAAACTAGAACGCACGCTATGGATTCGATGCGGCAGGATCAAAATTGCAACTTCCCTGGAACACTGAAGGTGTCACTGATATGTCACCGCCGTCCTCGGCAGGGCAAGAGAGGAGGCAGCCGCAGGTATCGCAGGTGCACCTGGTGTCTCCAACTCCATGTCAGCCATGGCAGTCATGCCCGAAATCAACTACTCCATTGTACCACGCATATATCAAAGATACATCCATCATTTGTCATATCACAAGATATCAAGATGATATTTTGGATATGCAGTTTTTCCGTATATCTGTATATATGTATGTGTTTAGCACTCTAGATCCTGAGTCTCTTCCATTTCCTCCAGGATTCCAGTTTTCGCTCCAGCCCTGGCACCCCTCTGGAGGCCGCAGCTCATCGGCAGCGAGGGCGGGCAAAGGCGTCGCAGCTTGTGAGACTATATCCTGCAAGCATGGGTCATGGGTTGGTCATGGGTCAAAGGGCCAACCAGGTAACCACGTTCATCCAGCACAATGAATGCAACAACATGCATATTCGATGACCAAGCGTCCAAACCTTTCAGACGAACAATGAGGTGGGCTATTATAAAAACAGGTTGCTCCATGAGTTGGTTTCTTGGGGAGACCTTGTGGACTGGGACTCCCTGAAGCAGTAGCAACACCTAAATTCAGCAAGAAGTGAGTTGATTCTCCCCTCACACGCACAACATCCTTTACGCTGGAGACATCCTGAGCGCACCGTGTACCCTGAATCATCCCACGCGACCCCCTACTGAATCCCCAAAATTACAAATTCTGCGCTCATCAATTGAAAGTAAATTGAAATCAATTGAAAAAAGAAATCAATTGAAAATCACTTGAGAAAATCAATTGAAATCACTTGAAAATCACTTGAAGTCTTTTTGAAAATCCATTGTGAAATCAATTGAACGTAAATTGAAATCAATTCAAAGTAAATTGAACTCAATTGAAAGTACATTGAAATCAATTGATCCAATCTTATTTAGTACCCGGTCCCTAAAAAAATCACTTTGAAGTGCAGCCTGAAGTTGTTTGGGGGGGCCTACACTAATCAGGATCCGACATTGGAACTCCTACCATCCCTATCAACAAACCATGGGGCTATTAGTGGGGGTTCACCATGACAACAGCTGTTCAACCAAAGGCCAGCCATCGGCTACAATTGATCGAAGGAAGTTTAGAAGTCAAACTTCCGACAATATGGACAGATGAAAAGCAGAGCAGGGAAGAGGCAGAGAGAAGAGAAAGATTAGAAGAAAGAAGAGTAGAAGAGAAAGAGTAAGAAGAAAGAAGATGGAGATGCGCGAAAAGGTAGGAAAGTCGCTTTAGGGCTCCGGAGGGTCGAAAAGTAGGCTCGCTAAAGCGGCGGGTGCGGAGCCAGCTGGCCAGATGAGAGATGAAAAATTGCACGCTGTTGTGGCGCGAAGCACATTTCGAAGTCAAAATGTACAAAACACACCATTGAGGACCACTTTTGGAAGTTGCGATGTCGAAAAAGTGCACGCCGTTGTGGCGCGAAGCACATTTCGAAGTCAAAATGTACAAAACACACCAGCATCGGACCACTTTTGGAAGTTCAGATGTCGAAAAAGTGCACGCCGTTGTGGCGCGAAGCACATTTCGAAGTCAAAATGTACAAAACACACCATTGTCGGACCACTTTTGGAAGTTGCGATGTCCAAAAAGTGCACGCCGTTGTGGCGCGAAGCACATTTCGAAGTCAAAATGTACAAAACACACCATTGTCGGACCACTTTTGGAAGTTGCGATGTCGAAAAAGTGCACGCCGTTGTGGCGAAGCACATTTTGAAGTCAAAATGTGCAAAACACACCAGGTCCGGACCACTTTTGGAAGTTGAGATGTCGAAAAAGTGCACGCCGTTGTGGCGCGAAGCACATTTCCAAGTAAAAATGTACAAAACACCACATGTTCGCGCCACTTTTGGAGGTTCGGATGTTGAAAAAGTGCACGCCGTTGTGGCGCGAAGCACATTTCCAAGTCAAAATGCACCACATGTTTGCGCCACTTTTGGAGGTTCGGATGTTGAAAAAGCGTGCGCCGCTGTGGCGCGAAGCACATTTCCAAGTCAAAATGTACAAAACACCACGTGTTCGCGCCACTTTTGGAGGTTCGGATGTTATCGAAGGAAGTTTAGAAGTCAAACTTCCGACAATATGGACAGCTGAAAAGCAGAGCAGGGAAGAGGCAGAGAGAAGAGAAAGATTAGAAGAAAGAAGAGTAGAAGAGAAAGAGTAAGAAGAAAGAAGATGCAGATGCGCGAAAAGCTAGGAAAGTCGAGAAACACTGTCTTTTTCTAATGATTTGGGGCTCCGGAGGGTCGAAAAGTAGGCTCGCTAAAGCGGCGGGTGCGGAGCCAGCTGGCCAGATGACAGATGAAAAAATGCACGCTGTTGTGGCGCGAAGCACATTTCAAAGTCAAAATGTACAAAGCACATCAGCGTCGGACCACTT